TTGAAAGTGGCAGAGGGGAGACTGAGATGAGCTGTATGGAAGAAATTCTTTGGTGTGAGCATGGCCAGACACTGTCCCAGGTTGGCCAGAGAAGCTGTGGCTGCTCCTCCCTGGAAGTGTTGAAGGCCAGGCTGGATGAGGCTTTGAGCAACCTGGTCTAGTGGAAGGTGTCCCTGTTGCTGGCAGGGGGGTTGGAACTGGATGAGCTTTAAGGTCCCTTCCAACCCAAACAAGTCTGGGATTCTCTAACAAGACTATTTTCCATACCAAAGCAGGGCTTTGAGGAGCTGGTTCAGTCAATGCCAGAAGGGTGAAGGGGCACTGAAAGCCTGGAGGGAGCAGAATAGCAACAAGTGGTAAAAGCAGAGAGGAAGACAATGGGATTTGGAGGATTCCAAACCCATGAAGCAGTTGTGGACAGCCAGCCAGGTGGGAAGGCCAGGCTTGAGTTCAGGGGGATAAAGAAAATGGCAAAGACCACCTCGGTTGACCTCAAATTAGGTCCCACCACAGCTGCAGGTGAACAGGGACCTCAAGACAGGGGTCCTTTACCCAAGGGATGAATTTACACAAGGACCCCAAGCCAGACCCTCTCAGCTCAGCTTAACCCCATCCTAGGTGGGCACACTGTGATTTTTTTGTGGCTTCATGCTCTTCCCACAGTGCCCAAGGCCAGGTGGCTGGATGTCACTGCAACTGCATTGAGGGGCTGGATGTCACCACAGCTGTGCTGAGGAGACTCAAAAAGAAACCTCAGATGACTCTTGCAGTGTGGATGTGTTGGCCCAGGGCTGGCACAAGGATGTTCAGAGTCACCTGCAGGAACCCAACCAGGTCCTCACTTGCAGAAAGCTACAGAGAAGGTCACAAATGGGAAAAAACTGGAACACCAGAAGTTCCAGACAAACTTAAGGAAAAAATTGTTCACTGTGAGGGTGCCAGAGCCCTGGGACAGGCTGCCCAGAGAGGGGGTGGAGTATCCATCTCTGGAGATGTTCAAACACACCCGGACACTTTCCTGCCCAGAGAGGTTGTGGAGTCTCCATCTCTGGAGATGCTTAAAACCCACCTGGACCCTTTCCTGTGCAACCTGGTATAGGGAATCTGTTTTGGCAAGGGGGTTGGACTGGATGATCTCCTGAGGCTCCTTCCAACCCCCACCAGCCTGTGATTCTGTGAAATACTGTTTTCCAGTTCCAGGTTAACTCCACACAGAGGGAACCATGAAGAATTTCAGCACTCCCTCCACATCTGGTTACTTTAGAATCATAGAATCACTTGGTTGGAAAAGACCTTTGAGAACATCAAGTCCAACCCTACCTGTCCATTACTAAACCATCTCTCTGAGCACCTCATCTACCCATCTTTTAATTACCTCCAGGGATGGGGACTCCACAACCTCCCTGAGCAGCCCATATATTCCTGAGATCCACTTTGATCACGTTTATTCCCCGGGGAGGTGGCATCACCCAGAGCCTCCAAGTCACGAGATGCTGAGATCTATTCTCGTCCTCACCCCAGACTTCTCCCATGACCTTGAGGAGCCACAGGAGCTGGGACACTCCACTGGCATCTGTCCCTGTGCTTAAATGGCAGCAGAGGCTGGGTGCTTTCACTCTCCTATACAAGGCAGCAGCAGGGAGAGCAGATCCCTCTGCCAAAGCCCCGGGAGGATTTGTACCTCGCTGGCCTTTGCCAAGAGCTTTGCATCCCTGCGTGCCTGGCTGCGGCGTGTTGGCCACTAATGTGATGCCTGGATTTTAATTTAAAGCCATCACAAGATTGGAAACATCTATGAGTTCCTTAAAGAGAAAAAAAATAATAGTGTTCGGCAGAATTGAAAAAAAAAAAACAAACCCAAACAAACACTTTCTCAGAGCCAAAAATAAGGTGATATGAGGTTGGGCAGACAGGACCTCGATCACTTTTTTTAATTATTATTATTTTTATTTATTTTTTTACACTAGGCACTGTTTTCCTCTCAGCCTAAACACCCACATCCAAGCTGCTGCCTGCAGTTAAACCAGCAATTTAATCCAAGAGGTGCTGCCACAACACAGCCTGGGTGAGCGTTTGACCCTCACATTGTATCTCGTGCCCGTTATCATCTGACCCCGGAGGAGTTATAAATACCACAACAATCGAGTTTTAACTGGATTATAATTAGACAATGAGCCCAGGAGGATGGAAACAATGAACTATAAAAGCTTGTCTATCATCCCAGCTGGGACCTACACACAAGGGAAACACTGGAATGGGCGAATTACCAGGACCTGTAACAGAAAAGCTACAAATTTCTCCCAAATTGGATTCGGAACATCCTGGAACGGCTCACGCTCCCGCCACCAGATATTACACAGCCCTGCTCACGGGAGACCTGAGAAACCTCCAGGTCCTGACTGACCGGTATTATCAAGATGTCAACTTGGTTTTTGAGATCAATAAAAACGAGTTGGAGTGGCAGGTGAAAAGCCAAGCGTCTTATGGACTCTCAGGTACTTCTTTTTTTCCTTTAAAGGCCAGTCCAGAACAATTGACAAACTGGTATTTACTAACCCCAGTTTGGTGAGGTGCAGTGATCCCAGTTCCTAACGTTGCTTTTACAGAGCCTGTTCCCAAGGTGGCTGGTTAGATGACTGTGCCCTGCAATCCCTACCCATAAATGTTCATCTCTTTTCTTATTTTATTTTTTTTCTGCACATACTAACCCACTGGAGGGACAAGGAAGTGTAAAAAGTGTGTTTCCACATGATTTTTCCAGGTGGAGATGGGGTGCTCCGTGGCTTAGGCATGTTTACAAGAGGGCTCACAACCCAAATTCCCCATGCCAAGGGCTCAGAAAGAGCAGCCCAGTCCTAGCTGGCAGGAATAAGATGCTCCCAGGGGAGTGGTACCTGCTGCTTCCCAACCCCAGATGGTCCTAGATGCTCACCAGGCATCGTGTATCTACTGATGGTCCCAGATGCTCACCAGGCATCGTGCATCTACTGATGGTCCCAGATGCTCACCAGGCATCGTGCATCTACTGATGGTCCCAGATGCTCACCAGGCATCGTGCATCTACTGATGGTCCCAGATGCTCACCAGGCATCGTGCATCTACTGATGGTCCCAGAGCTGCTGGGACATCCCAGCACATCCCAGAGCTGCTGGGAAATGCAATGCCTTGCTCCAGCCGAGCCCAGGCTCAGCTCAACCCATGCCCAGCCCTGCATCACCTTCTGAACACGCTCTCACACAACTTGGGTGCCTTTAAGCCCAGCTCCATCCCAGTAAAGATGTTTTCTTTTCCCTGTCCTAAGTGCTGATGGGGAATTTGCAAGCTGCCTTTTAGCTCCTGCCAGCAAGACTTTGCACCCAGAGTCCCTTAGGTAGTGGTTTACCCACCTCATGCCATATGAAATCCTTCTCCTGGACATGGACACAGCTGCTTGGAGAAGCCACCAACCTTAATCAGGTTCTTTGAAATATCTATAGCTGCCAGGGAGCCAAAAGAAAAATAGGAAAAAAAGAGAGAAAAAGCAAAAAAAGCAGTATCTTGGTAGGGTTTATTCAAAAGGCTGATGCCCAGGGACTGGGAAGCCAAGGGGTCAGCCCAGCTCCCTCATCTCGGCAGGGCTGTGGTCTCTGGAGTACAAGCAGGAGCTGACCACCCCACTGTGCCCCGCCGCCCGCCAAGGTCACACCGCCTGCCTCCGCCACCTCCTCCTTCGAGGGGCCAACCCGGACCTGGCACCAGGAGGGCAAGGACCCCTGCACGAAGCCTGCCTGGGGGGTCACACCGACTGCGTGGAGCTGCTGCTGGAGCACAAGGCTGATCCCAACCTGAGGAGCGACGAGGGTCTGGCCCCGCTGCACCTCTGCACCACCCAAGACTCCCTGGGGTAAGGAGAAGGTCCTCCCAGCAGCATCTCCCCTGCTTTTCCCTCTGTGGGGTGCAAAAATTATATGCCCTGGTCCCCACTGAGCCTTCCCATGTCTTCCCACATCTCCCAGCCGCTGTGGCACACTCAGCACAGCCAAAAAAAGGCACATTTTGGTGCCACACACACTGCACAGCCCAGGTCTCCTTCCCATGGACAGGAGCAGCCCAGCCCAGCTCCACATGCTTTTCCTTCCTCCTCTTTTCTAATCATTTCTCTCTAAAAAAAAAAAAAAAAAATCACTACATCCCACATCCCAGGTCCAGCTCACTTTCCTCACAGGAGATGCTCAGGATGGGTCTAGTCAAGGGGCACATGGGTCACCCCAACCTCCTGTGCTCTCAGCCCCATGCCCACCCCATCTCAAGGGATGTTGATGCCCATCAGGGAGTTTGTTCCTCCTAAAATCCCAACCCCAGGGCCAGAACAAAGGGATGGGAGCAATCCTCCCACCTCCTCACCCCATGCAAGGCACATACAGATCCACCTTGGCTTGTAGTCAGGGCTGAGGCTCAGCCACGTGCATCCACATCCTTCTCACCCTGGGTCAACATCTGCATCACGTAGAGATGAGTATAAAAGTTGCCTTTTTGAGCACACATGGATGTCTTTGTAGGATTTTAAGCACCTGAATCATTAGACCCAGGGAATTAGGTTTTGGTTTTGTTTTCTTGGGGGTTTTTTTGGAGGGGGGTGGATTTTTTGGGGGGTTTATCTGTTGTTTTTTAGGGTTTTTTATATATATGTATTAATTAATAGAAATATATTAAGGGGCTGAACTCTTTATATATATTTATTTATATTTTTAT